GCAATTTGTGTCCACTTTTACTTTCAACAAGTGCTCAGTTCTGTTCAATATTTCCGGATATATGTCGACACTTTTGTTAGCAAACTCTCTGAAATCATCCTGGTCATCGTGTAAAGTAATCACTTTCTCCCAATAGTTACGGCCAATGCTATTATAAAATATTTGTTGTGATTATTTAAACCTTTACATTTAATTTTAAAATTATAAGTAAGGAGGGAATATGCCCTACGTAAATTTAATTTAAGCAATTTAAACCATATAATCCTATTGAGCATGCTAACCAAGTACAATTAAGGTTATAAAATTCTTATAAGCGAACGGGCTTATACATATTTAATACCAACAAAATTAGTTTGGACAATTAAGTTAATAATTTCAATTTTAGCGCTGGTATTATAATAACTATCTATTCATAACCGTTGACACCTTGCTCATTTTTACTTATTCATAAAATAAACAATTTATGCCGTAATCAATGAATGATAAATTTTTATATTTGACAAATTTGACAAATAATATTACTACTCATAAACAATCTTTTCAATCATTTACTATTTTCATTAATTAAAATTTGATTCATTTATAACTAATTAGTTGAGATTATTTATGCATAACATTATGAATAAGCAAAAATGAGTAAGTCAATGTGTCAACTGTTATGAATAGATTTTTATGATAATACCAGCGCCAAAATTGAAATTATTATCTTAATTTTGTAAACAAATTTTGTTGATATTAACTCTGTTTAAACCCATTCGCAAAATTTTATCGCCTTAATTGAATTTAGTTATCATTCTAAATAGGATTGTATAGTTTAAATTTAATTTACGTAGGGCATATTCACTCCTAAGTATATAATTAATCTAAATTATAAACTGTATAGTACACACATGTATAATATTTATGAAGTTGTTGTAATAAACATTATATTATTTGCACATGGTGTATATTATTGGCAATAATTTATTGCACATGAATAATATAATATTTATTATATTATATATTGAAAATAATATCACCATACCATATAATTTCGCCCATGTTGATTTTTGACTGATTACCAGCCTCTTCCAGGTAACCAAGGAAACGATCACGGAGCATTTTTGTTTCGTTTAGTTTAGCGTTGGTCAACTGGGCGTATTTCACCTGTTTGTCCTCGGGCAGTTTGCAATACAGATTAAGCTTCTCGTAAAATGCAATTTTAGGACTCTCCAAAATCACTTCTCGGACCTCTGGCTTTAAGTACCCTGCCCATTTCATGCCTGTTACAATATCCCAAAAGCTGCAACATAAGGATTATTTACAAATACTTAGTCCGTTATTTTTTATGTATATAATAATTAAATTCAAAATAGTAATATTATTTAAAGAAAAGATGAAATTTTTTGGATTTCATATACAACTTATAGACTGACGAGATTATACAATGAAATTACTGTATTTATTTATGTTTAAGGGTATCTAGTTTATTTTTCTTGATTATTGAAAATTTTTATAAATTTTGCTAATTTTCTTTGGATACATCATAAACTCAATATTTAACATATTTACAAAATTTTTGATATATTATTAAATTCCTGGACAGGTCATTATGGACATCTGGGCAGCTTATTATTCATAATAACTAAAATTTTACACAAAATAATACAATATTTGAAACATTGTCATTTAAATATCTACATAAAAATATTAAATAAAATATTTTAAAAGGTTTAAAACTTTATAAACATATTTGCAAAAATTTAATTAATTGCTAATATTACTAATAACTTATTAGTTATATTAAATGGAATACTTTTTCTACTTACAGTGTACCATTGCCATTCACAGATATTCCCGTTTTATTACATTTCTCTCTAATTATGTCCACATTTTCGGGACATTCGACTCCATTGCCATATCTTTCATATCGCGTGACAATGACATCGATGGCCGCCTCTTCCTCTTCACGTCCACAATATATCACAACTAAGAGTCATATCATTATAATTACTAAATATTCTCTCCCTCTCTCTCCCTCTCTCTCTCTCTCCCTCTCTCTCTCTCTCCAATCTTATAAAATTACTTTTATTTGTAAATCTATGACAGAAGTTAGGTCTTAAACACCTGATATTTTAATTTGACTAATATTAAAATGGTGACCCTGACATTGTCATACATTTATAAAAAATTTATATAATATCTGATAATACAGATTAATAATACATATTAATTAATAATTAAAAATACCTAGTTATATTATTATTTGAAAATACATTTACATACCAATTATACACAAGAAAATAAATAGTTTCATCACTAATAATTGAATTATTATGAATATAACAAAAATTAATTAACTTTAAAACTGTTATTACACGTAAGAGCACTAACTACTGTATGATATGTATTTTAATGCCAGCTATATAAAGTGTAATATAAAACATTGTGTGTATTTTAATTAAAAAGTAATTTATTTTCAAATTATTGATCACTCATATAAACAGTAAGATGTTACTTAAATAATAAAATAATTGTGTTCATGTATTTTACACATGCGGTTTTGTCAATTTTTCTTAACTTATATAAAATAATCCTATTCTTAGGACAACTAAAAATGAATCGTTTAATATGCAGATTATACACAAAATCTATGAATTAGTCAAAGAATCATAACTAGAGCTCGAAAAGTTCGGGAATTCCCGAATAACATTAGATAATCGAATCGTCGGGAATAACGTCCAGTTAGTCTTAGAGGTAATAATAGAGTAAAAATAAACAACTTTTATTTTCCCGAATATTCCTTCTAATGTATAATTATTGTGTTTGAATTGAATAAAAGTTAATTCCCGAATTTTCCCGATTTTGACGATTTTACTCCCGGTTCCCGACCGATTTTGGATGTTTTTATTCCCGAATATTTCGAGCTCTAATCATAACATATAGTATTTGACTAATGCTTTAAAATGAAAAAATTGTTGTTATAGTCAATATTGTGCTCAAAACTATTAAATAATCATCCAATAACATCTTGTCGGTTGCCTTACCTATTCTGTAATTTCTATTTAATATAGCTTTTAATATTGTAAACCAAATCATGAAATATTAATGTCATACCTACGAGAAATTAATATAGAAATGTAATTTTAATAGCGATTAATACAAAAAGGTAAAACAAAAATTATGCCAAACACTAAAAATAGTATGATATTTGTTGATAATAATAGTAACGGATAGGTTTAACACAAATAAATAATAAAGTAAATGCAAACATATCAGAATGTAAAAATAACAAATTAATAAAACCATTTGTAAATACAAATTACAAAATATTGAACGTTTATTAACGTATAAACAAAATAATTATTTATTTGTATAAAATTTTATTAAAGCGCTGAGTCCAAATACTTTGAAAGTAATTTAGCCATCAACAATGTAAACGATTTATATGTTGCTTCCGGATAGGACTCTTTCATCTCGCACTTTGTGTCCACCTTTACTCCTAACAAGTGCTCAGTTCTGTTCAGTACTGCCGGATATATATCAATCCGTTTGTGTGAGAACTCCCTGAACCCATCGATGTCGTCGTGCATATCAATCACTTTAGCCCAGAACTCACGGCCAACGCTGTAAATGTTTTTATTGGTTTAAGGATATTATTAAAAATTTTATTTGTTATTATTGAATGTATTTAACATGTATTACATTCAGAAAATTTACAAACAGAACATGTATTTAAATGTAAATCCATACCACACAATTTCGCCCATGTTAATTCTTGACTGTTTCGTAGCATCTTCTAGGTATCCAATGTAACGGTCGCGTAGTTTTTTAGTGTCGGCAAGTTTGGCGTTTATTATCGGAGTGTATTTCAGCATTTTGTCCTCGGGCAGTTTGCAAAACAAGTTAATTTTGTCATAGAATTGAATAGTAGGACTTTCTAGCATCACTTCCCGGATTTTTGGTTTAAGGTACCCTGCCCATTTCAAGCCGGTTACTATATCCCAGAAACTGCAATGTAATATAATTATAATTATTTAATTTTATAATTAAATTACAATTCATCATAATATTATTTATTATGTAAATAATTGTTTACAGCACCCGTCGACGTCTACCATTCTCTAATCGGCAATTTATACATTTAACTTATTCTCACTTTGACTAACCAAACATAACATTAAACACTTTGGGGCAGGCGTTGATAGAATTAAATGTGGTACATTTATTTATTATCATTTTCAATTCATTATATCTCATTAGTACTATATTGTTGATTAAGTCCTTGGCAATTTTAGTTGGGATGTTTTAAATTATAATAAAAATTACTTGCAAGTTAGAATTGGGATAAAAATAAATAAAATATAGCATGTAGATTTAACATTTTGAACAATGTCAGCCAGAAACACTATGATCCTGTTCAAACTATTCCAAATCGAGTATATTCATTTATGATAGTTTACATATAAATTAAATGTTGATTAAACGTTCGATTTTACGGATGTTATTTTTTAATTTGTAAAAATATCTAATAAATAATCCCGTATCACACATTTCGAATATATATTTAACAAAATAACATAAGACTACTCACAGTTTACCCATGGTATTAGCATGGCCCAATTCATTGCACTTCTCTTTAATGATTTCCAACTTTTCCGGTGCTTCGACTCCATTGCCATATCTCTCATACTTTGTGGATATGATATCAATGGCCGCCTCTTCCTCTTCCTGTCCACAATATATCACACCTAAGAGTCATATCATTATAATTAATACACTTTCTTATATAAATACACTTTACATTTGTTAACAACTTGTAAAAATACCTTCTCTCTCTCTCTCTCTCTCTCTCTCTCTCTC